CGTGTCCCGAGCAGGCTTCCATCAGGAGTCGAGCCGCCCCAGGAAAACAGGTGCCAGTACGCACAGGGGAAATGCCATTCCTTTTCTCTGTGCTGGGAAAATAGGTGACGGTGTGCCGTTCCGAGCCATGCTGTCTCAAAAAAAGCACTGATCTCACCCATCTTGTCTCTCCAATGTTGGAACAGAGTCTGGACACCAGGTATGAAGCAAGCAGAAGGATTTATTACACACAGCGCTGGTGGAGTGTCACTTCGCTTGTTAGGCTTGGTGAACACTGCCAGACAACAGGTTACAACTAATTATATAGGATGCTTAATGGGCGGATGAAGTGATTGGGGGAAGAGGGGAAATCCCAGATCCCCTGGATAGGTGCTAATCGTGAGGCAAAATGAGAGCAATAATCTAAAGGTTACATAGTGTTTTCGGCCCATACCTTACAGAATACCTTATATCTAGCTAAACAAGTATTTAAACAAAGCAGACATCAATTATGTGTTAAGTGGCAATGTCTCTGTTAGCTTCAGGAAGGTATCTTTGCAGGGATGTGATCCATTGGTGTTGCATCTGGGGATTAAAGCAGAGACTGTAAGAGTACTTGACAATTGCACATTTGTTCCTAACACCATTGAATGTGTCATGTCCTGTCTCTTACCCTGGATTGTTAGCTCTGTGATGACCTTCCTCCGATGGGCTAAGATGGGCTAAGCAGGGGGGTTAACCTGCATGTACTGTGTCTTTGACATAGACATAGATGTTTTGTGTGCCTGTTCCAGACTTGAAATTTAGAATAGGGGTTCTTAATAAAATATCATATCCTGTCTCAGAAATTTTTACCCTACACCAATATCCTGGGCTGACACAAATTCAATTACACTTACTGTGAGAAAATATATGCACTTTAACGCAAGTTTTGATATGATCAGTTTGTATTTTTAATAATTATCCCAAGAAGTCTATCAGTAATTGTATGTTCCGTTCATGGTATGTCTGTGCTCCAGTTGAACATGTGATTGCAGCATGATTTGATATATCCATGCCTGCTTTACTATTATGTATTATCAGGGCTCGACAATTAATGTAATCTACTCGCCCATGACAAGTAGATTACAAGTCGGCACAGCCGTGCAGCGCGGTCAGCGCATGCGCAGTGTGCCGAACCACATGGCTGGTGAGCCCCATGTATTAAGACTAAAATATGAGTGAAGCCATGATTGCATACATTTCAGTGCAGGGTGTACAAGCGTGCTGGGAGCCCTGGATGTGTACGTACTTTACTGATCCATGCTGTTGTGACTTAACTAGAGATTAGCTAGATTTAAGATAGCATGGGTATTCCTACCCATTCTGCAGCCATATCTCCAGTTGAAGTGTAGATCTATCCAAAGTGATACTTCTTATGGGGGAGGGTGGGAATTTTACTCTCTAAAAATGCTAGTTATGTTATCAGATAATGAAAAACCGAACAATGGACGACACTGAAATGAAGCTTTTTGCTAGCAGTTCATGAGTCCTCAGAATGTTAGGTGTACATGTCAAGTTGTCTTGGGGCCTATGTTGCAATGTAAGCTGTTCTTACAGTAAGGTTGTGCAAATTCACTTAAGAGGAAGAGAAAAGGAATTCTTTATTGAGAGATTACTTCAACTGTATGAGCAAGATGAAACAGGAAAGTTCTCTTACTCTATCCATACAATGCGACTGATAGAATATTGGGTGATAATGCATTATCTGAAAATGAAACACAAGATGCCTACTTAAAATGCACAAGGAGGGCTTTTGGCTTTAAAAACTACATTTCTATTTAGTGAGGTATGTATCTGTATTAGAAGACGAAGACAGTTGGAGGTATGGAGGAGGGACATTACAACCGGAAACTAGCAACAAACGTACTGTACTTTTTTCATCTGCCTTTCTTTCATTTATGACGTGTCCTTTTCTCTCTTACAAGCCTTTGTATGGGTTACTTCAAGCAAAGCTACAGCTCATTACTCATGCCTATTTTGAAGAAAAAGATTTCTCACAAATTTCAATTCTTAAGGTAACTTTTCAATATATACTACAGTATAATGTTCCTTGTGTATGTGTATATGTTTTACATTATAAACATTCTTTAATCGATGTATTCTTGTATGGTATTTTCTTAGGCATTTTCATTCTGCTATTTTAAATAATTACATATTCATATCCTTATATGAATTGAGAAAGTAACAGATTTCTGATTAGTAAAATATCTGGGAACAATATCATCAATGACATTAGAGTAACAATTGAGTTATATGCAAAAATATTATTTTGTTCATCTTCTTTAAGCAAATTATTTTATCCTGATCCTTTGGGTAGCTTTAGTAACACCTGTTCTGAAATCAGATGTAGTAGTCATATGACTTTAATTTTTTTTATTTAACTTTTACAGGAACTTTATGAGCATATGAATAGCTCTTTGGGAGGAAGTACACTGGAGGGGTCACAGGTTTATCTCGGTAAGCTTTTACAAGCTATATCAGCAAAATCATTCCCTCTGAACTAGTTTGTGTATGTGCATTAAACTTTAGCAACACATGCTTATGTGTCTGCATGATAGTTTTATCATTTTCCCTTTTACTTATTGAGTTAAATAACTTTCAGGCAAAGTACTCTTTACCTTCAGAAACAATGAAGAGTCCTGTGGCAGCTTAAGGACTTACAGATGTATTTGGGCATAAGCTTGTTTGGGCAAAGGCCATCTTACATCTGATGAAGTGGATCTTTGCCCATGAAAGCTTATGTCCAAATACATCTATTACTCTTAAGGTACTGCAGGAGTCTTCATTGTTTTAGCAATTACAGACTAACATGGGTACCCCTCTGATACTTACCCTTTACCTGTTTTTCCATAGTATGGATCTCATTTTAGGTTGTAATCCATGATCCATCAGTGATGCCTCTTGATATGATATATGCTTAGTGAGTGATCTCCTCAGCTCCTTCTGAAAACTGTGTTTTTTAAAGTTTTTAATTGTGGGAAATTTTCAATGGTACAAATGGGAATTAGGCACTCAGTTCCTCTTTACTTTCAAAGGGAGTTGAGCACCTGACTGCCCTTTATGCCCTGGAAAAATCTCCCCCTAGATCCTTATGTGCCACATATCATAGGAAACAAAAAAATGGACTATGTAGCACTTTAAAGACTAACAAGATGGTTTATTAGGTGATGAGCTTTTGTGGGCCAGACCCACTTCCTCAGATCAAATAGTGGAAGAAAATTGTCACAACTATATATACCAAAGGATACAATTTAAAAAGAAGTGATTTGTCCTTTTCATATGTGTTCAAATTTCAGAACAGAAGGAGGATAGGGGAGGGGAGGTAAATGTCTGTGAGCTAATGATATCAGAGGTGATAATTGGGGAAGCTATCTTTGTAATGGGTACGATAATTAATGTCTTTGTTTAAACTTAGGCATAAAGTGTCAAATTTAAGCATGAATGTCAGTTCAGAGGATTCTCTTTCAAGTGTGGTCTTAAAAGGTCTTTGAAGCAGGATGCAGGTAACCAAGTCGTTGAAACAATGTCCTTTCTGGTTGAAATGGCAAGAAACTGTTTTTTCTTTGTGATTCTGTCTAATATCTGTTTTGTGGGCATTCTTTGGCGAAGTGTCTGAGACGTTTGTCCAATGTACATAGCAGACGGACACTTTCCGCACATGATAGCAGAAATTATATTTCTGGATGCGCAGGAATATGTGTTCTTGATCTTATAACTCACTTGGTTAGGTCCAATAATGGTATCAGCAGAGTGAATATGTGGACAAAGCTGGCAAGTAATGCAATGGGACCTCTTCCAAGTTCTTTCCATTTGAGATATTCTGAAGAGGCTTGAATATGCCAGAGAGAGGTCTGCTGAGCACTTCGGTTTGGCTCTCCCTTGGCAGAAGTTGGCTGTTTCTCAGTAGGACGTGGATACTAGTTATGTGGAATCTGTCTGCACTGTAACATGCCTTGAGACCGTAATAATATTGCTTCAATTTAAATTTAACCTGTAACCTAAACATAGTCAACTTTATACTATTTTTAGGAACAAGTTATTGTGAGGATATAAGAACTTAGTTCCTCTGATGGAAGTGGGATAAAAAGTGTTTGTAACCTTATCTGTGGAATTCCTGATAATGCCTCCATAATAAGAATTGTGTGTGCCATTCTGAAAATCTATCATGAGAGCATAAGTGTGATATTTGGTGATTAACTATCTGTTGGCAAAATAAATCCTGAGCAAATGAGTTTTAAAAGGTGAACATATATTCATAAAAACCATTTCCTAAACAAATGGAATTCTCAATTTCATATGAAATTGAGGGTCATCCGGTCAAGAACTGCCATAGTTGACTGTTGTGTTTTCCTGTAAAGAATGTGTTAAAAGATTAAAACTAAAGATTAATAGAGGCAGAAGACCAGGATTCCATTTATTTTATTAATGCTTCAAGACTAGTACTTAGAAAAGTTTACTTGTCCCAAAAATTCTTATACTGATCAGACACAATGCTTTCAACATTGGCAGTTCACCAGATAGTGAACCTTAAAATGACATTCTGACTTTATATTTATCACTGACTGAAAGAGATTTTTTTGTATCAGCTAATTGGAGGATTTGCTAGACAGCTTCATTCCACTCAAAGGTGGGAATCCAAGTATGGGTCATAGAATCCATTTGTTTAATTGCTTTACTAGCTCTTAAAATAATTGCACAAATTGCAGTGAGATTTAAATGGGAGTGAAAGGGGAAAGCGAGATGGTAATTGGCATGATGTGATGTCACAGTTCCATCTTGTTGATCATCAGTTCTGAACTGTTGTATTACAGTAGTATTGAAAAAATTGTGTGGTATGTGTACACACCATGGATGTAACGAGATGTGCTTCATAGCCATGATCACAGCTTAAAAGTTGTATCCATATAGCATTTCACACTTTAATTCATTGATTAAGCCAGGAGTGGGGAACTTAAGGCCCAGGGGTCAGATGCAGCCCCCGGCTTACCTGGATCTGGCCCTCAAAGGCTCAAGGCTCCTCCACCCCCGAATGGAGAGCTCATGCTGGAGCACACACAGTCTGCTAGCCTGGGCCTCACTAGGCTAGGGAAGGGAAATGTGTGGAGTGTCCTTCTTTTCAGGGGCCACGTCAGTGAGGATTTTGGGGTTTTTTGCTTCTCGCTTTTTTTGTGCCTTGCCCCCCACCATAGGAAAAGTTGTTATCTAGAAAGAGAACTAAAAGTCATTGTTGAATCAGATGCTTCCATAGGAAAATGGTTTGGTTAGCTGACTTTAGCATGAAATAAACAGCCACCTTTTGTAAGGCAGAGTCTCCATCTTACTTTCAACACTCATATTCTCAGAAGGAAGAGAAGGTGGATTGAATTCTTTTAATGACATCACAATGATTTCCATGAGAATGGGGAATCGTATGTCACGTTAGCTTGTGTAATTTGGTTAAAAGAAAAATGGGGGACAGAAAGAAGGGCATTGATACCTCTTGTGCAGCTTCAATAATGGATTTGTTCTTAATGTTTTAGGTCTGTCTCCTCGAGATCTTGTCCTTCAGTTTAGGCACAAGGTATTCATTTTCATGTGTCTTTATAAAGTACACCACTAGCATGTTTTTTTTTAACATGATAAAATGTAAGTTACATGATGATCAACTGACAGCTAAGCAAGTGTACACATATGCTTCTTCATATTTTAAGGGCCAGACATTCTACTATACATAGTGGGTGCTGCTAAGGAGCTTGATACAGACTCCTGTGACTTTCCGGCCTCAGGCGCAGGTTGGTGCAGCCTGGAGGTTTCCTTGCAGGTTGCAACCTAATAGACAGATTTCATGTACTCTTCACTCCTTTTGTGCATACACCACCAAAAAAAAAAAAGCCAACAAAAAAAATTACATATATCAAGAAGTAGGAGGGAGTGGTGCCACCCCATATAAACCTGTTATCCCAGCAGTTAGAAGACTTACTTAGGATATGGAACATTTAGGTTCAAATTCCCTCTCTGCCTGAAAAGAGCATAAGGTTGAACCTCACTCTTCTACATCCTGGGCAGGTACTCTTACTGTTAGGCTATAGAGTAATTCTCATTCGCTCTATGGCCGAATGACTATTTTGTTCGTGGAGAACAGCTTCAGTAATAGAGACTGAGAGAAACATGCCTCAGAATACACCATAGTTTAGTGGTTAAGACCTTGTTTCTGTTCCTCTCGGGCAGAGTGGAGATTTTAGACCAGGCCTTCCACCTTTTGGCTAAGTACCCTAATCACTGTTCTATGTGTAGATTAGGAATGCTTGGAGCACGGCTACAGATTGGCCCCTGCAAGTGAAATAGGTGGGGAACATCAAATTTGCAGATCACACCAGGGTTTGGGCGTGAGCTAAGCACTGGGTGTCAGGACTTTTGTAGTTATGTGCTTTGGAAGACTTTTATTAGTGGGATTTCAAGGCTTTCAAGGTTGAGTGGCAACAGAGCAGGGTTTTAAAGATCTAAATTTTGGACATTGCCCATTAAGTGTCAGTTAGGTGCCTAAATCTGTTGATGTAGCCCTAACATTCCACTACATTAACATTTTTCTGTGGAACAGTTGTTTTTTAACACAAGTCACACAATGTGATATGTACAATATCATTTTATTTCAGGACAATAGGGCATATTTTATTTATTAATAAAATTAATATTAGGAAGAATTTAACTCCAGTAATTGCTTCCCACTATGATACTGTTTTTAATAGACATTTAGCTGGAACAAATAGAATATGAAGTTTTTCATTGGCCAGGTGTACTTGGTCAAATTTTGGAAGAAATGAAATAGATAATGGAAACTTTTAGTGAAAGATGAACTAATGTATATTACACATATGCATGCACACACATCTGCTTTTTTTTTTTCCTGTTTGCTAGTCATCAACTATGTTAATTTTCCTTTATTTTGCAGGTCTTAATTCTTTTCAAATTGATTCTTCTAGAGAAAAAGGTAGGGTATGTGGGATGAAGGAGAGGATTGAAATGGAGATGAAATTGTTCATATGACACTAAAAAGCATATGTTAATGAAGGATAAATGCTATACTAAATATGTCTGGAGTAAACTCCATTGCTCAAGTATATTTGCGTATAGGCATAAGTAAAACTGGAAGCTTTATCTTCTTGATTAGCTGCTTTGTGTGCATTGGTATATAAATTCTATTCTCACACAGTTGATTTTGCCATGATTGACAGTTATTCTAGAGCAGGGGTCAGCAACCTAGGGCACACGTGCCATCAGTAGCATGTGAGCTGATTTTCATTGGCATGTAGGTGAGAGCTTAGTTCTGCCCCTCCCTCCTGCCTTGCTCAGCAGGGAACCTGTATTACTACTTGAACCTCACATCCAACCTGCTCAGGCAGGGAGTTTTAACTGGATTGGCGGGGGCGGGGAATTGTCAAGCAGCTGCTAAACTGAGCTGCTCTTGCTTGAAACAGCAGCAAGATAAGGAGGTGTTAATGACTTAGATTTACACACACCTAAAGAGACAGATCGGTGCCTAATGGGAATTACATTTATTTTCACTTGCCTTTTTATGGGTGTTAGACATCTGGGGTTTTCTGGAGGGGTTTTCTGGAGTACAAAGCAGGTTAGGCATGTATCTGCCTCTTCAGGCAGCCAAATACCTCTGTCTATATGGGTCTAGATTTAAAAAAAAAAAACCAACCTAAAGGCTCTGATATGAGTTATGCTTTTGTTGACACATCCTAATTTTTACCTGCGTTACCAGAGCTGGCTGAAATATGACAACCTATTTTCACAAAGTATTAACTTATGAATTTGTTTTCATTTCAAAGTGTGCCAAATTGACCCATTTAAAATTTTTTCCCCTTTTTCAAAATGTCCTATGTTTTTTCTATTCTCTCCCCCCACACACACTCTCCCAAAAGAGGTTAGTGACATTTTTCCTTTACAAAAAGCCCTTCCAAAAACTGGCACAAACTAGTTATAAGAGACTTTGAAGTTTGAGTTAGTGAAAAGGCATGACATTTTTTACACAGAGGAACCATTTTGACAATATAAACAGTTTGGGTTGAGGAAGTGGGTCTGGCCCACGAAAGCTCATCATCTAATAAACCATCTTGTTAGTCTTTAAAGTGCTACATTGTCCTGCATTTTGCTTCAGCTACCCCAGACTAGCACGGCTACGTTTCTATCACCAGTTTGGGTTGAGATAGTTTTGTTTTAGAAAAGAGTCCTTTCCTGCTCCCTAAAAGAAAAAAAAAAGCTTTGAAAATTTCAACCAGCTCAGTGTTTCACTCACTCAGGCACATCTTCAGGTCCCCTTAGTGCTACCAGGTGGCATGTGTGCTCCACACTTTAAAGCAGCGTGTTTTTAACTGCAGTGCAGACCTGCTCTCAGTGCACCAGCTCAGCTAAAGGTAGTGTGTGTATTTCTCCTTGAGCTATAACTTATACCTCCAGCTGTAGTATAGATGTACCCTTTGGGGGCTTACCTAAGCTCACTCAAGAGGTCTGTGATGGAGCCAAGAATAAAGCCTGTATATCCCAAAGTAAGAAAGAAAAAGATTCCTTTAACAGAATTTTTTTGGCATGTTGCAGATAACTGAAACTCTGGTCTTAATGATTTTGTTTTAAATCCTGTGTTACTAAAATGGTAAGATCTGCATCTTTATTTATTTATTAATGAAGCTGCTGTAAATAGGACTATTATTGACTTTAAAAAGTATTGCCGTCATGCAGACCTTAAATAGAAGTAATAAGTCAAATCTTGGCACATCATTTTTGAGAGGTTGCTGATCTCTGTTCTAGAGCAAAGGCAAGTAAGATTTGGTAAATTTGGGTAGGGAAATTTTCACAACAGTTCAAGGTCAACTGCATGAGAGAATGGATGGGAAATATCAGGGCCTAAATAGTGTCCTCACCATTGTAAAGTGAAAACTCTTACTCCTACATAAGGGCCAGCAAAATAGAACTTCATTTAAACATAAAACAAATAATAGTAATATAAATACAAAAGGAAGCAAGCATGCAGAGCCTTTTTCAAACTTTAGACTTTTTGTGAATTGTATGGATATTTATCTGAAATGCATAGTATCCAAGGTCATGTCTTTCTAGTCACGTTAACTTTGATTCACAGTAAATAAAAATAAATATTAAAATAAGTAAATCAAGCTGTTTAAAACCACAGAGAAGTGAAGGCCTCAATTATATTTTTCTTCAGGCTGTCTTACTTCCTAAAACAGGTGCTGTCATGTCAATTTAAGAGGAATATGGAACATGTATAGACATATAAGAAGTAGAAACAAAAGAATACCTATTTGTAAATTCATATGTTGGGATAATAGCTTCCAGTAAAATAACTGAAAATCAGCACACAAACACATGACCATCAGGATCTTTTTTTCCCCTACAATATTTACTTTAATGCTAAAAGTAAAAATCTTACTTTTGCTTTCCCAACAAACAAGCTAAGTTATAAGTTCATCGCCTTAAAATGTTTTTTGAAGTTGCCTTTATATAGGGCAACTATAAAAAATAATTTATTGAAGGGCAAGAAGTAATATCAACAAATCAGACATGAGCACAGTTTTAATCAAGATTGCAAAAAAGCACATAAGTCAAGAACTGCATGTGTTAAGATTGCATGCACAAACTTAACTCTGCCCAGTATGCATATGTATTGTGATAGTTAATAATTTCTCAGATATAATCACATTTTCGTACATCATCAAGCCTTTTTTGTTTTAAAAGCGTGTATTATTTTGCCTAAATCAATTTAAAAAATTGATCTTGTCTAACCAGCTCAAATCTCTAATGTAGACACAGTTAAACCAGTTTAACCCTTGCTTACAGAGATTTCTCATCAGTTGGTAACTTAATCCCTCAAGGTAAAACTGGTTTAAGTGTCTCTCTGCCACCATATTATCTAGATTTATTTTAAATGGTTTAAGGTTGTAGAAAAAGGATTTTGGAAACTATGATCATGTAATTAGACTGGAAATGCCTTCATGGAGTTGGTATAACTAAGATTTGATGTATCAGAGGGGTAGCCGTGTTAGTCCGAATCTGCAAAAGCGGCGAGGAGTCCTGTGGCACCTTATAGACTAACTGAAGTGTTGGAGCATAAGCTTTCGTGGGCAAAGACCTGCTTCATCAGATGCATGTAGTGGAAATTTCCAGAGGCAGGTATAAATATGCAGGCCAGAATCAGGCTGGAGATGACAAGGTGGATCCAATCAGGGAGGATGAGGCCCACTTCTAGTAGCTGATCTAGAGGTGTGAATTCCAAGAGAGGAGAAGCTGCTTTTGTAGTTAGCAAGCCATTCACAGTCTTTGTTTAATCCAGAGTTAAACCAACAGAACACCACTGGCCATCACCTACAGTCCTCAGCTAAAACCTCTCCAACGCATCATTAGTGATCTACAACCCATCCTGGACAATGATCCCTCGCTTTCACAGGCCTTGGGAGGCAGGCCATTCTTTGCCCACAGACAACCCACCAACCTGAAGCATATTCTCACCAGCAACTACACACCGCACCATAATACCTCTTAAATCAGGAACCAATCCATGCAACAAACCTCGGTGCCAACTCTGCCCACATATATACACCAGCAACACCATCACAGGACCTAACCAGATCAGCCATACTGTCACTGGTTCATTCTCCTGCACATCTACTAATATAATATATGCCATCATGTGCCAAGAATGCCCCACTGCTATATACGTCGGCCAAACTGGACAGTCCCTATGTAAAAGAATAAATGGACACAAATCAGATATTAGGAATGGCAACATACAAAAACCTGTAGGGGAACACTTCAATCTCCCTGGACACACAATTGCAGATCTAAAGGTAGCCATCCTGCAGCAAAAAAAACTTCAGGACCAGACTTCAAAGAGAAACTGCTGATCTACAGTTCATCTTCAAGTTTGACACAATCAACTCAGGATTAAACAAAGACTGTGAATGGGTGTGTTTTTCCTCACTTGTGTGCAGCCCCCAATTGATTTTTCTGAGGGTCAGTGGCCTCTGTTCCAAAAAAGGTTCCTTACCCCTGCATGACTAGAGCAATCCTCTAGTCAGCTAAAGGCAGTGTGGCATAACTCTCATTCTTCAAGAGTGAGCACCATTAAGGACCAGAGTGTAAAATTTTGCAATTCAATCAATCGTCAAGATTGTAACTGGTCATTCTTGCCACCCCTAAAACTGTCCCAACCAACCAGTACAGGGTTGAGTTATCCAAGTACAGTAAATGCCTTGTTGTGTCTTCTCTTTAATACTTATCTGAATAAAATGTTATAGGGGCTTTTCTTGATGTAAAATTCTCCATAAACTAATTTTTTTTGAGAGAGAGAGAGAAGCATTAGATGTCCCCCGATTCTCTTGTTTGTTTGTTTTGGGGTTTTTTTGTTTGTTTGTTCTTGACTTAAGCTTTCATTTTAATTTTCCCCTCCTCGCCATTCCCACAGGTGTTGTTTTATATTTCACCAGTAAATAGACTGGTGGGAGCACTGATGACTGTCTTGTCTCTCTTTCCGGGTAAGTAAAAGCAGGTTTGGGCTCTTTGGGCTATATCTTTCTTATGTAATATCTGTTCATTACAGGCAGTCCCCGGGTTACGTACAAGATAGGGACTGTAGGTTTGTTCTTAAGTTGAATTTGTATGTAAGTCGGAACTGGTACATATTGTAGGGGAAACTCTAGCCAAACATTTCTCCAGAGCTCAGTTTTATTCTCCCACACCTCACTTCCCTCAGGCCTTTATTCTCAAGCCGTCTCCCTGGTCTGCTGGGGAGGAGGCGCTAGCTTCGCGTCTCCCTGGTCTGCTGGGGGGAAGCAGCTAGTGCGGGGTTGCCTCACCCCGTTTGTAAGTAGGGATCCGATGTAAGTCGGATCCATGTAACCCGGGGACTGCCTGTACTTAAAATTGACAGTGATAGTATTGGAGAAGTGTGTGTTTGCAAATTATGTGATATGAGATCTGTGTTGGTTTATTTCCAGAAAACAATAGTCACAATGAATTCACATTTAAACCTACATAGTATTTTTATGAAGCACACAAGCGTACAACCTTATAACAGTTTTTATGGAGAGCTCTTTACCTTAGAAATAAGATGCTGAAGTCTATTTGATCTGTTTGGGCTGCATGTTAGCCACCTTTGATATGTGAATGAATAAGTCATTGGTTCTGTGTTTCTGCCAAATGTATATTGAACTTTAAATAGATCTTACCAAGGTTAGTGCTAATCCATTTGGGCAGAAGAAGTGGACTGGATTTTAAAAGGGCTTAAAAATGCATGACCTCCTTTTTTTAATAAACTAAAAAGTGTTTCCTTCTTTGCCATTATCAAAAATCACTAACATCTTTGAGATATTTGTGTATGTGTTTGTCCTCTAGGTATGATTGAACATGGTCTTAGGGACAGTTCACAATATAGACACAGAAAGAGTGTTTCAGAGGATACTGGCTTGCAGGAAGTTACTATCCCTTTAGATGATTATGTTTCCGTGTCTGCTGCTGACATTTCAAATACAAACTCAGGAATGGGTGAGGGACGAAGAAAGCTGTCAGGAAATTATGTACTGGAGGCTCACAAAACAGATGTGCCTTTATCCAATTTTGAAAAGAATTGCAATGGATCAAAGTCCTCCAATGACTCTGGGCAACATTTGAAACCTCCTTCACGCACTTCTCCAGAGTCTTCTGAAAGTGACTGGGAGACCTTGGATCCTAATATTTTGGAGGATACCAACTCGAAAGAAGGAGAACATGAAAATATGACATCAGAACAGACTGAAATCTTTTCAAAGGAATGCACGACCTCAGAAAGCCTTCCAATTACTGTGCAGCCTCAGGCTAAAACAGGACATGTGGTTCTTGTTCCAGGACCAATATCTGGATTGGAGGAGGACCAGTATGGCATGCCATTGGCTATTTTTACTAAGGTACACATTTTGATAATTACACTTAGTAAATATTTACCCACACTTCAAGTTTTCAAAAGTGACTACTGATTTTGGGTGCCTAACTTGAAGCCTATTTAAAGTATTGCTCCATATTCAAGTGCAGACTCTGACAAGTGGCCTTATTTTTGTGTAAACAAAAAAAAAATCTGCTTTTCTGAATGTATTTGAATATACATCCAGAAAAGTGGATATTTTTATTTTACTAAAATATGAAAAAAAAATACATATTTCATGTTCTCCTTTCGAACAGGAGAAGGAGAAAGACACTCCCCCACATTCCTCTTGCACACCAGAGCCTATGGGGGCTCAGCCTAGTAGATTTTATGTGCTCCAGCACCATGGTGAGGCAGCAGGAGAGCTGAAGCGCCAGCACTGGTTGCCCAGTGCAGGAGGGGGCCCTGAGCCTCAGGGGTCAGACCCAGGCAAGCCAGGGGCTCCATTTGGCCTCCCTGGGCCTGAGGTTCCCCACCTCTAATTTAGGCTTTTCCTAAAGTTCTGTGTGCTGTAATATGTAAGCACTTGCTAGACAAATCTGAGAGAGAAGGTCCCTAGTGGATACCATGGACAAACATTGCTCAGCAAATTAAACACATTTACATCTAGCACAGATTTTACTTGTACTGCAATTGGAAATAAGTTCTAGAGAAAGTGTTTGTGAGAGACACAATCTTTGTACACTTGAATCTTGAAATGAAATAAAATTAACAACTGACAGTGCTAAATCACAGCACAGTGGCTTGCTGCAGCAAAAGACCCCAAAAGGCTGGACTCTGAGCTCTTGTAATTTGTATTCCGCATGGGTTTCCCATTAGCATAGTTTTAATGCACCTCCCTGAGAGGCGGTAGCTATGTTGATGGCAGAAGCTCCCCAGCCAATGTAATGCTGTCAGTTCTGGAGGTTAGGTTAGTATAACTACATCACTTAGGTATGTGGATTTTTCATATCCCTAGTTGTTGTATTATTGTCACATAAATCTGTAGTGTAGATCAGATCAGTGTTGCAGATAAATACAAGCTAGAACAGATAGTTTACTGAAAGTAGATAACACACATTTCGAGGGACTGTTCAATGTGAGAGGCCTATTAATGCTCCTCCAGTCATTGGGAGGAACAGAAGGGAGTGTGGGGAAAAGCAGATGTAGGAGAATTGTTGTTGGGATATAGATTGTTGTAATAGGCCATAAACCCTGTGTCTTTATTCAGTCCTTTATTTTGAGTAGGGTTGCCAGGTGTCCGGTATTGACCCGGACAGTCCGGTATTTTTGCCTCCTGTCTGGTATAAAAAAAATATACATCAGAAAATACCAGACACCTAAAATGTCCGGTATTTTCTGATTCCCCCGCCACGAGGCAGAAATACCGGACACCTGGCAACCCTAGGACATACTCAGCAACTGGACCCAGCTCCCTGCCCCCAGGCCTCCTGGTTCCGCAGGGAAGCTGCGTTCTGGCTTGATCAAGAAAACAAAATGGCCACCAGCAAAAAGCCTAAAGACCAAGGGAAAGCAATGCCTTCCCTGGGTCTTAGTGCTCAATCGCTCCTCTGTTCCTATCCCTATTCTGACTCTGTATGCACTCTGAAAGGGGCCATGCTGTTTTAATGCTGTTTTATTTATTTATTCTCAACAACTTTGGTCTCCCCTCTTTTTTCCCCCCCTCAACAGAATTTTTCCCCCGTGCCTGCTCCCCTCCCCGTGGTTGGAAGTGTGGGAGCACACAAGTGATGCGCTGCCCTGCCTCCTGGGGGCAGGAAAGGAGCAGAGTTTAGCAGAAGGGGTGGGATTGGAGGTGGGGCTGAGGGCTTGTTTCCACCAGCCCTGCCTTCACCAACCCGCCCATGTGTACACCCAAAAGTGGTGGTGGTGTGTTTCTTTTATTCTTTTGTGAGTTCATTTGAAAGTTTAGTGATTTTCTGATTTCACCCACATAGTTAGTGCACTGGATGAGATGCACCTAGTGTTGTGAAAAGCATTTGTAGGACGCATAGATCTTGAAAGATGTAATGTGGGGGGTACCGATCTTCATTGCTATCAACATATGTTTGTAGGTTTTGCATTAGTTGTTCTGGCAGGGCCTGGTGTTGCTTTGTGTTTGCTCACAAAGCAGGATATACAATTTACATCTGATGATAAGCTTAGAGAGGTTGGGGAGCGGGTTATTTGAAGGCCAGAATAAAGAGTTCAGGGTCCCCATTAAGTATGGGTTGTAGTTGTTTTATGGTATACTTTATAGGTTCCAGTGTGGTGTGGCAAATAGGGGGGTGTGGGCAGAGAGAGGGGGTTTTATCTCTGTATTGAAACAAGTTCTCTCAAGATACTTTTATGGTGAAGTGTCCTTGTTTTGCAATGGTGATTTTGAGGGTGTTAATGTACATTATTCCAGATTTTTTCTCTTTGGAGCATGTTCTGTGGCCGAGATGTCAAACATGCTAACCACTAGTCACATGTGGCTATTTGGCCTGTTGAGTGTGGCTAGTTCACTATAGCAGTAGCCGCTGTAGTGGCTACTACTTCAGAACTGATTGGACACCACGGTTCTATGGTATGCAAGTGCCTAGCTGTAGATAACAGATGTATTGGGGTATATACTGAATCTGCAAAGGTGGTAGGTGTGGTGATCTGTGGGGGGAAGGGGGGGTTGTATACTTTTATGGTTCCATAGTTGAAGCTGATCATGATGTCCAGAAAATTGATGCTGGCATGGGAGCGTTCCAGAGAGCGTTTAATTTACAGGTGTTGGTTATTGTGGTAGAAATCTGAGCTAGGAATGTAAAATCTCATTTAAAATATTAACAGGTTAAACTACATGTTTAACCTGTTAACTTGCCTATTGCAGTTGGGGGGCCACTGAAGCAGGCTACCCATTTACATCCCTAATCTGAGGGAGTTTTTGGTGTCTCTACAGAGGATGAAAATATCATTGATGAATTGCAGGTATATCAATGGGTTTCATGAGAGACATACAATCAGAGTGGACTGATTTAAATCAATGCAATTTAAATAATTGATTTAAATCAAGTTTCCCACTGATACTACTTCACATATTTCTTCAAACTATGGTGCAAATTTGATCACTAAAACATTAATTTACAGTTCAGTTCACCATTTTACAACATCTAAGAGGATATATATTGTGTAATTTTTTTTAGATAACTTGATATTTATTTTAGGAAATAGTTCTTATCAATCCTAGTGTACTGCTGCTGCATCTGCAGCTTGACACAGGTAATGATGAGTATGTACTAACTCTCACACACAAACACAATAGCACTTATATTTTATTAGCTTAAAGTTTAAATGTTACATAAATGTTTCACATTTGCAATTGCATCAGTCTACAGAGTTGCTGACAGCTGTCCTTAAAATTCTTTTTAATTTTCAAATTTTATTAACTCTTAACAGACAAGTCCTCATATCACTAAATGTTACCAAAAGAGCTAAGACTGACTCTACTTAGAGTGCCCTTAATTTTGGAGTCTGAGGGGTAGCTGTGTTAGTCTATAATTAAAAAAAAAACACTTAAAAAGAAATGAATGATCCTGTAGTACCTTAGGGTATGTCTACACAGCAACATTATTCAGAATAACTGACCTAATGGAAAGCAGGAGGACTTCTCACTCTCACTCCTGTAACCCTCATTACACATGCACCAAAAGCCGAATTAAGCTATTTCGACTTTAGCTATGCAATTGATGTAGCTTAATTCAAGTTTTGCCCTGCAGTGTGGAAGTGCCCATAGAGACTAACCTGGTTCTATAGGACAATTAGTTGTTTTTTGAGTTTTCTTAATTTTGGAGTAAGCACCATTGAAAACAAGTATAGGATGGGGTTCCTTTGGCAAAGCTGCTCAGTAAAATAGGTAATAGATTTATGGTGTCAACATTATGGTCTGTGACCAAGGTATTCCAAAATAAGAGGCATGTATTGTGTAGTACATAAAATAAGACACTCAGTAGCAACTGGCAACTCTAGATTTCTTTTCCTGCAGCCAGTAGATTACTGGTAGATTCTAAATTTAGTTAGCTAATCCTTATGGTTTGTTTAATTAGTTAAGCTAAATATTTTTCTTCTCGCAACATCCAACATAGCAAGCAGTTTGGGAATTTACTTGTTAAATCACACTTACACTAAAAGGAATAGAGTCTTGAAGAATGATGTATTGTAAAGTTAATCCATATTGTTCCTCACACATAGCCACGTCTTTATCCACATCATTTTCTCCCAATAAGCAGTTTTCTTCATGATGTTTCATTCTTGCAGCTAGGCTCCGCATCATCTTGCACTGCTTACACCTGACATGTTTTTGTTTTAACCCAGGAAACGAATTTCTTCAAAATATTCCCAAACAGGGTGTGTGTCATGCTCAGAATTAATTACAGTTTTTCTGTGGCAAAAATGTGGGGAAATATAGGAAACTATGTCTTTTGCTAAATGTCTTCCTTTTTTCTTTCCAATCCTCTCTACTGTTCCATTCTATGCTGCCTCTGTCCTTTCAGATATAGTGTATCTCTCTCATTAGACAGTGTCTTTACTCCTCTGCCATGCTTGGCCCAGATCCACCACCGCATAAGCAAAGAACAAAAACAGTCCTATCTAGCCTTTGTCTGTCTTTGCACATGATAGTCTGCTGAGAAACAGAAATTGAAAGTCCAGAACTTTCAAGAAGAAAGCGCTGGTTGGCAGGCTGGACAGACTAGAGCCACTAATTCATTTTTAGAGGATTGTAAATGTAAGTTTAGCATGTTTGTGATTATATTTAATTATAACTTGTTTTAACTGGAAAATTTAGTATTTTTTTTATTTATTTCAAAAAATCAGATTTAAATAAATTTGGTTTTTTACATTTTTTAAATCATTGATTTTTTTTTATTCACCCTGTAAATAATATATCTGAGATACACTGATGATATTAAGTTGATTACTCTATATCTGACCTATCAATCCTCATCCTTAAAGGAAATCTGCACAATACTTTCAAATGAAACTGGATTTACATCTTAATTACAACTCTCTATAACCCACCAACAAACTTTTGCTATGTCACCTTAAATGTTCCCTTGAAATACATGTTAATTACGTATACTAAACAATCTGTTCCATTTTGTGTTTAGCTGTGACACCCTGAGTAAATTTCCGAGATCTGTATAAGATCTAAAGCTAGTCTCTCTCACCAACAGAAGTAGAACCAATGAAAGACACTATCTCACCCACTTTGTCTCACATATCCTAGGATTGAGTCAGCTATAACACTGCATACAAACAAATGCAAAAATCATGTTAACTTCAGGTCTACTAGAAGTATCATTGTAAAGGCAGAAAGCAGTGTTATGTTTTGCGGTTGGTTTGGGTTTTTTTTGTGGGTTTTTTTCTTTTTTCATTTAGTAAAAGGAGAAAATCACTATTGGGGGAAAATGTTTAAGATTTTTAAGATGGGTTAAAATGAAGAATGGAACAATTTAAATTTAACTAATAATATAATTTTAAATGTTTATCTTCTACCCCACAAAGGCATTCATTCTCTCATAAAAGTTTAGCTAATGAAATCAAAGTAAAGGACTTGAAATTTCAGATACAGCCGCTCTCCGAGTTACGAACGAGTTACAGACCAACATTGGTCCGTAACTCGAACTGTTCGTAAGTTGGATCCCATAGAGTTTCATGGCGACCGCACTGTTCGTAAGCGCGGATCGCCGTTTGTAACTCAGATCTGCATTTAGGACCGCTTTGGTCATACGTGCGGATGGTTGTAAGTAGAGGTGGCCGTAAGTTGGGGAGCGGCTGTAAACTAATGTTTAGGGATGTGCATCCTTCAATAACTTCAAGATTGTGTACTCTCACCAAACAATTTAATTCATTATGAAACTGTACTCCATTTTATACCTATCAATTTTTAAATCAAGAATGGATGTTTTAGTAAGATACACTTTAATTCAGGGAAATCCTATAACCTGTTTTATATAGGAGGTCAGACTATATAACCAGTGGTCCCCTTCTGTTTTTATAATCTGTAAATCCCTTTTGATAGGACTATTTACAAGTTAGTTTTCTTGGTTTTGTATCCTTGTTCAGTACTGTGGAAAGAAAGTTTAGTGCATTAGACCAAAGTTGGATGAATAAAATTGTGCCAAAAGGTCATGAACTGGCTTAATTGACCATTGGGTAATGTATTTTCTAGTATAAAAGAGCACACACTACAAGAAAAAAATAGGTTATGGATTTTTTTTACTATTTTTAGTGACTGCTATCTAAGAGCAGATGCTCAACTCATTTACTCCAATGTAAATCAGAAAACGTCATAGTTCCGTGATGAGTTTATAATCCAGTCTCCTTTTTATTTTAAGTGGTAAAGCAATTTTAAAAAAATTTAACACCTTCTCTGGTTGTAAAAATTACATGACAAATATTACATTGGCAACATCCTTAATTTTTTTCTGGGAACCTAATGCTCCAGGGTGATAACTATCTATCCAGACTGTTACCCTTTGACAGTGATGGCTCAGTTTAAGTTGTTAGTGTTTTGGATAGTGATCTCTGTGTATAATGGAGAAAAAAGGAGTAGTTGTATTCCTTTCTTGCATATGTTTCAAATTGTCATGTACTGCATGCTGATTGATGTACATTCACTCTTGTTTAGGCCAATATGCCTGCAGCCCGTCTGTTACAGTTAGTAAAAGAACTACACAATGCTTTATGTAACTGAACAGCTGGAATTGGGCTAGAGTTTCAAGGGGTACATTGATTCTATTTTAAAATGAAAATTATAATACTTACAGCTGTATCACTAGAATTTGGGTGTAACCTACATCAAAGACTTAGACATTTTTAAATAGCAAATTTTCCTGGAAAGCATTGATATAATTAGTATCATAAGAACATAGTGGTTAAAAAGCACAGAGCTTAGTCTTTTTCTCCTCCTGCTTTCTTTTTTTCCTCCAAGGAGCATGTATATACTCACGAAAAGTTATCCCTGGAGCCTGAAAGTCTGTCCCTGAAAAATGTGGATAGCTGAAGTGCAAGAGTGTATAACAGTCCTGGCAGCATATTTAAGTCCTGACAGTAGATACTCTGCTGTGGAAAAGAGGATATTTTCTCTGTCCATTCCGTTCTTGTCCTTCTTACTGTGCGTGCCAAGATATGAGAATTGGATTGAGATCACCAAATTCATTTCACATTTCTCAACCCAGTTACAATCTGAAGGCTGTTTGGCCTAGATTTCAACCAGTCACATAACAGTGAAAGCTGTCATGAGCCATTACTAAATATATTCAGTTTCTGTGAAACTGTGTTTTGCTTGTGTTTGCATAATGTAGCAAAGCAACATTAAACTCTGGTGGCAGTTTGGCTAGGAACATGGTGCAGAGGGCAATGTTCTCTCTCTACAGTGTTGTTCTTGATTTCATTTAGCTGTTGGAAGAACTGGCAATGTGGGTAGCTACAGTAAGATGGATCGGGGAGGTATTTTGCATCTCCCTTTTCTTACTAATCATTTAACATTTCTATTATTTTAGGGTTACCTTTGCTTGCCATACATGGCACTGCAACAGCATCACCTCCTCTCTGATGTAACAGTCCGTGGCTTTGTTGCGGGAGCCACCAACATCCTGTTCCGTCAGCAGAAGCATCTAAGTGATGCAATTGTGGAAGTATGAATTCTCTTCTTTTCAACTTAAAAAAAATGGTTGTCTTATGAATGTGTTTGTCAAAAGAAGAGCCTTTGATTGCTAATGAAGTTGTTAAATAAATACATTATTTTTATTATTTGTATAGTGTTGGTACCTAGAGTCCCAGTAATGAACCAAAACTCTATTGTCCTAGACACTATACAAACACACTATAGAAAGCTCCTATTCCAGAGAATTTTCCTATACACTTGCTTTTAAAAAAGCTTTTGTCAAAAGGCAATATAAACAAAAATATTCCTAAACTTCCAGTTAGGTTCACTGACATTTTCTGTACTTGGCTTAAAGTGGGTAACCAATCAAGTTTTCGTGATCTCAAGGGAAATTGACCGAATCAATTGTGTGTCCAAACGAGCTATTCTGAAATAGCTATAGTGCTGTAAATTTACAACTTATCTTCTTCTTATTCTGGAAGAACTTCACCATGTAGTCAAGCCCTTAAATAAATAGAGAAAAATTTCACACCTATGATGCTAGAATTCTTTACACTTTCATTCATATAAATTATTAAGGTTTTCCTTATTAACTTTGTTCACTTTGAAAAATATTAATAAGTTTCTGGTATAATACATTATATCCAGTGTTTACAGTTTATATAATATTTTAAGAGCTCCATATAGCTCCTTGTTGTCATGACTTATTTTTTCATAGTGAATTTTGATGGCTCCCTAATATGATCTTAAAAATAAATATATATGATTGAGAAACAGACCACTATGATAGCCCTAATATGCTCTTCCTCCAATGCATTTATTTATATTTAAACTGAAATAAAAAATGCCCAGACCGAAAACTGTAGATGCCCTAGGAATTCAGTTTACAATTACATAATTACGACCACCCAACAACATTAAATAATCATGTCCAGGTAGCAAGTTAACACAGTCAACTAATAAATCAGTGTCTTGGAAAAGCATCTCTAGAAACATACCCTATCTGAATGTATCCAAAATCCTCATAAAGAACTTTTCCCAGGAAGATCATCAAGTTTAGACTACTTCAGACCGATATCTTGTATCATGAGAACAGGTAAAGCATAATTTGGTAATCTGTTTCTCCTTACCTTTGGTTGTGGTTATAGGTGGGGATGAATTAGTCATTTGATCAAAAATAGTATGGTTATGTATTCTAAAGGTCTTATTTGGACTGTTTTTTCCCTTGGGATTATTTCAATCAGATAGAGGAAGCCCTTGTACAAGTCCATGATCCAGAACTCAAGAAGACCCTGAACCTCACAACTGCTGACTTGAGATTTGCAGACTACTTGGTGAAGCATGTTACTGAAAACCGGGATGATGTTTTCCTTGATGGCACTGGCTGGGAGGGAGGAGATGAGTGGATCAGGGCTCAGTTTGGTGCCTATCTTCATGCACTGCTTGCTGCTATGCTACAGCAAGGTACATTCTGGTAATCTCTTTAGGGGCTAAGTTGAGGATGGGTAGGGAAGGCTGGATGCTTAGTAAATAATTGTTTCATTGCATTTTCAGTTTGGTTCATGCTCATCCTTTATCTGAGTTGAAAATTTTTTATTTTTTTTTTTAATCCCTTGACTGTTGTAACTAATTTCATGCTTTATTCTATGTTATTAACTTTCAAGTGATGAACAGACTACTATATTCCCTCTTTGTTATCTTGGTTATTTGTGTTTATTTCTCTTACGCTGTCCTCGTAAAAAGAAGTACTTGTAATCTGTACATATAGACATCCTGATAATTTAGGGTCTCTTTGTGGACTTTAGCTATTCCCACTAGTTATGCAGAATTTATAAATTCTCTCTCTCTAAATCTTTTAGGAAAATGTTCTGTTTGCCCATTATTGACCCTTTTAATTGCCCTCCCCTTCATAACTCTCAGTTGACAGCCTGAAACCAATTCTATGTCTACTCCATGATGCTCCTTAGGCAAATACTGTGTCATAGTTCACTTCAAACATTGATATATTAAGACTTCTATGTTCTCTGTAATTTTATTTGAGATGATTAACTGTTTGTGGCATAACATACTTTTCATGAATCTCATGATCTAAGTTCTCTATAAGATGTGCAGCAGGGCAGCCATGCAGCTACTAATTGAGCCCTGCCCAAAGGTTTAGGGCTGCCATACAGAGAGTTTCCTGGCTGGGGAGAGGCACTCCCTCAGCAACAGAAGCTCCCCGCTCCAGACGAGCGTGCTGGTAGGGAAGGGAACATAGGGAGGGAGGGAAGAAGTATGTGGCTAGGATGGGAGGGAGCAAGAGGGGGTTGAGTTCGGAGTATGCAGGAGAGGAGAGTTTTGATTACAGAGATCTGATTACAGCAGCTGAATTTGCCTGCAACTTCCTATGAGCTTTCAGGGCTAGGAGAGGGGGACCAGACAGCATGGGGTAAGTGGGGAAAAGGGGTGGTGCTGGTGTCTGTGCAGTTAGGTGGTGAGAGAGGAATGTTTGTTTGGGATGTCTTTAACTTGTTTCCATCTGGGCTGCAAGCAGGAGGAGTCAAAACCTGTCTGTCTCTGTGCAGCAGCCCTGGTTGGGCTCCAAAACTAGGACTTTCTCCTGGGCAAGGCTGGGGGAGAGCAGATTTCATGGAGGGTAGGTGGGGAAAACGGGGGGGTGGGTTGTTTGAGGTGTCTTAACTTGTTCCCATATGGACTCTGCGGGGAGCAAGAACCAGACTGTCTAAGCACATTAGTTCTAGTTGGGTTGCAGACATAGGACTCTCTCCTGGGCTGGGGCAGGCTGTATGGGGATGGTGACAAAATTTCAGATGGGTTAAAAGCTTTTAGGCTGCTTTTGAATACTGGAACAAAAGGCCTAGCTCATGACATTTGCATGATTACATTTCAAACAAAAGAATCATTTACTTTCTTACCATAAGCCATTAACACCTATGTAAACTTTAACACATTTTTTTTTAGTGTTGTAGATATCTGCAAACTCTGGTCTTAATGCTTTTTAAAAATCCTGTGTCACTAGTTAATACATGGTAAATACATGGTAAATTGTTAAAACTGGAAGAACTGGATCCTATTTAATTTGTTTGGCCTTTCAATTGGAGGTGGATTCTGGTCAAGTGCTCTGGGGGTTTCTTCTCTTTGAGTTAGTGATACACACAAGGAGAAAGTTTCAAACCAGAACTTTTATCTGTTTTACAGATCTCTGTTCATTTGCATAGCATGGACCCTAAACATTCCCCAGAGAAAGTGTATAAGCCTGAGCAAATGCCTTTCACTCTCCTTTCCAGTGTCAGTAAATATTTAAGTTAATATTTTCCAGGAGAGTATGACTATTTATAGTTGACTCACGGATTTGTTTAGCATCTTAAAGCTGTACATATTTTTTAGGCTTTTACTTAATGGCCATGCCTTTGATTTAGTTATATAGCCATTTGCGGTATGCCCCATTTTGATGTGTTTTACTAGCTTGAGTTGTTAGGAAGGATGCTAATGCATGTACTCCAAGCGTAGTGTTGGTTTTCTTTATTTGATTTCATATTAAATAAACATCTTAAGCATTATTCCTTGTTAATTATCCCTTGTTTTAATATATAGTCTTTCATATCCGTGGACTGTTTAAAATATATATTTTATACTTAGTTTTTTTGTTTGTACTGGGACACACTACATCTCCACGTACAACCTCAATGTTGGTGGTGCACATAAGAAATTTTAACCCACCCAAAAGAAAATTCAACTCACCTAAGGATGGAAAATGTAAAGGGAACACTGCTCATGATAGATTTTGCTTTTCCTATCTAAATATTGTAGATCGATGTTCTGTATTTAACATATTGTTAGAGACATTAGTATAACAAACCTGTAGTATTTGATAGTTATTCATTAATTCACACTTTAGTAATTCTGAGCTTCACCCTTAAATTGAATGTGCAGTTTCATCTAGCACAGTAAAGTAGGATTCTGCTATTAGGGTAAGACTAGCCCAGATGATGATTCTTTATGATTGTTGGGGTACCCCTTTGACTTCTTCCCTGCTGTTGGATATTGCCTTGCAACAGTGCTAGGCCACTTACTTTCACATTCAGACTCTCATATAGTAGCACAGTGCAGTTTGGGTTTTAATATGAGGACGTTAAACAGCTTGATATAATCAAAAAGTAAAAATACTGTTTTTATTCATATTAGTGGGGGGGGGGGTTATTTAAGTTGTATCTAAACTAAGTTGTCAGAGTTCCTTTAAATGAATTTCTTGGTTGTCTAAACTCCATTTTCCTTTACTTAACTCTGTGTTGTGCAGTGGCATTTTTTCAATCCCAAATTACAGAGCTTGTTGCTTTTTTAATGCTTATGGACCTGGAACCAAGACTGGCCTTACCATGAGGCAAACTGAGGAGGCCGCCTCAGGTGCCAGACTGTAAGGGGGTACCATTAGGATCCAGAGTGTAGAAAATCGTGTCTGCTGCTGGTGCAGCGAGAGGGCATGGGGGCGTCATTTGAGCTTCCCCACCTCAGGTGCCAAAATGTTGTGGACCAGCCCTGCCTGGAACCCCGTGTTCTCTGACAAGAATTGAGGACATTTCTGATTTCTTCAAAACCTCCCTTTTGTTTCTTTTTCATCCTTAGTGCATTGCTACAGGTTCATTCACTTTCTGTCTTTTATTCATCAGACAATGAAAAGATATTGTCAGACTTTGGAACAGCATTTGTAGCAGCTTGGAAAAATACACACAACTACAGAGTATGGAACAGCAACAAGCATCCTGCTCTTGCTGAGGTAAATTCTAGGTAAGACACCAAGTTCAAAGATAAGGGGGGAAATAAAGATTGTATTGTGCTGTTCCTATATGGAATCAGAGAGCTTTTGTGGATGTTACGAGGTTCACTTTTACTGCTCCTCCCTACAGCCTGCATGAGGCAACTGTGGGAAATGTTGAGAGATTTATCACTGCACTACTGGAAAGAGAAAAGGAAGTAGCTTTTTTCCTTTAGACCAGGAAGTGCAGGCTCTCTCTGATTACTACAAATTGGACCTTCCTGGTCCAGCACTCCTGGGACCTGAGCAGTTTGGAACTAAGGAGTTGGCTGGACCAGGGGAGGTCAATGCTCCCCTCCTGGCCACTGGCACTGCTCCTAGTTGCCAGCCCCATGGGCTCCACTCTTGTCCAGCAGAATCCCTTGCAACTAGAGGTTGTGCCTTCCTGGCCCAGCCGGGGCTACTTATTCCCTGTCAGCTTCCCAGCCACCCCAGGCCTCCCTCTCCTTAGAAGTTTTATAGTCTCCTGGTTCTTGCAGATTTTTGATTCCTTCTAGATTTCCAGGGAGCAGTAGCAATATAGTCATTTGACAGTGATGTTGTTGGTTCAGTGGTTGCATTCTTTGTGCTTTTTTCACTTTTAAAATGGACTGAGCAAATGCACTGTACTTTAGGTTTCATTTGAAGGTTACTCAGTAGCTTCAGGTACAGAGTATGGCAGCATGCTGCCTAGAAATAATTAAAACTTGTACTCCATACGTTACGTTGGCTACTGTTTGAGTTAAGTTTATGGCTTTGGAGGGGTGGGGGTATATCTATGAAGCCCTAGATGTCAACCAGAGACATTGCTTCTCTCATTGTGCCTCGTATTGATAGCAGGAGGAATGTTTCAGCTGTTAGCTTTTATGAAGTTTGAAAAGAAGATGGAAACATGTCTCATTTGTAGATGGATGGCAGATTGTAGATGATGTCATCAAAATCCTACTGCTGACTCTTAGGTGACACCAGGGACAGGTGTAACTAGATATTTTCTTTGTTTCAGTGGAGGACAACCTGCAAATAAAGCCATGCAATTTTTTTCATTAAGGAAAAAAATGACGAAACAGTAACACTGTAATTTTTCCCATTCCAGCCACCCATTCCAGGGCCAGTACTCTGTATCGGATGTAAAGTTAAGATTATCACAGTAAGTATATAATACTTTCACATTTTATTGCCAATAGCTAAATTGAGACTATGTAGATAAAATCAAGATTCTTCTAGAGACATGGGAATTGACCCTCTTCACGAAACTATATGCTGCACTCTAAGGATGGGCCATGTACTTGAGAGTGTGAAAAATATTTCCAGTATAAGTCTTTTCATGTGTGTGTACAGTGCCTACTACAGTAGGTCCTTGATACTTTTATGGTGGGGGGGGATACCAATCATAAATAATTGATGGATTATTAGAGCTGTATTTTCCATGATGCAATATGTCCTCTTGCTAACCCACTTATTAATGTTGACTTGTGAGTACTGTAATCCAAAACTTTAAAAACATTTCTAGTACAGTGATTTTTGTTTTGTTTTATTCTGTATTTCTTTATTTAAACTCTGGGCCAGATCTTCTGCATAGTTCCACTAATTTTTAAATCCACAGAGGAGCTGGCCCTTTAAATCAAATTCTGTCTGGCAGAAAATAATTATAAAATTGATGTTTTGGGGTTCAATGTTTGTGTCCCTAATTCAGCTTTTTCAGTCTTAAAGTAGAAATATATTTTCTATAACCTTCAGCTTCAAACAAACATTCAGCCTGGAGTCTAGAATTAAGCTCACTTCATTCCTGTTCTTGCATCCATCTGCTTTTCAAGCCTAATTCTGCTCTCTGTTACGGCTGTGCAATCCAATCTTCAGTGGAGTTTTATTGATATACCTCAGGTCAAATTTCAAGTTTGCAGTTGCAAGTTAACTGTCAGTTCTGATGCATGACCCTCAATAGATAAAGCCCTCTTGCCTCTGCTGGTCCTTGAGCGCATATACGGTAGAATCTCAGAATTATGAACACAGGTTACAAACTGACCTGTCAATTATATACCTTATTTAGAACCAGAAGTATAGGCAATCAGGCAGCACCAGAGACCAAAAAAGGCAAATACAGTACATACAATGTTAAACAATGTTTTAAAAAGGGGGAGTTATGAACAACTTGCTTTTACTGCAGGGGAGGGACAATAATTTTTGATGGTGGGGGACCACTCCAAGAATTTGGTAAGTGGTCAAGGGCTGCACTCTTTTATGATATTACTTGGAGGAAGTGTGGGTTCTGGGTTGGAGGTTGGATGCAGAAGGGAGCTTGGGGCATGGGAGGGGGTATGGGATCTGGAGTGGAATTTGGATGAAGGAGGTGGTTGTGACCTGGGTCAAAGGACTGGGGTGCAGGAGGGAGCTCAGAGATTGGGCTATGACCTGGGGTAGAAGGGGGTTGTAACATTTGGAAGGAGACTGGGGTTCAGAAGGTGATGCAGGGGTTTGGGCTTTGACCTGAGGCAGGGGATTGGGGTGCAGGATCTGGGAGGGGGTGTGGGTGCAGGAGGGATGCAGAGGGTTAGGTTATGTGGGGTAGGGGCAACAAAGTGAGAGGCAGAGAGTTGGATGGAGGGAGAGGCAGGCTTTCACCTGGAGACGCTTACCTGAGTGACTCCCAGCTAGCAGCTCAGCAGGTTCCACAGCCAGGCTCCCTGCCTTACATGTCCTGGCAGGCTGCTCAGAGCAGCTGGTCATGGGGCCATGCGCATCTGTGAACAGATGCAAGACTGGGGGAAGGGTACTTTGCACACTGCCTGTTCTTCAAACAGGAAGTTCCCATTGACCAGAAACTGGCCAGTGAGAGCTGCAAGATTGTGCTGTGGGCAGGGGCAGTGCATGAAGCCTCTCTTCACTCCCCCCTTCTCCCAGGCTTGCAGCTATTTACAGACAAACAGGGCCCCACAGCTGACTGCTCTACAGGGAAGGGGAGGGAAGGAGCCTAACTAAGGCTCCCACTGCACCCGCAGGCTGGATCCAGTGGCTTGATGGGCCAGATCCAGCCCATGGGCCATATTTTTGCCTGGCCCTATTCTACTGTATGTGTATAATAAGAACGGCTGTACTGGCTGAGACTAATTGTTCATCTAGCCCAGTATCCTGTCTGCCGACAGTGACCAGTGCCAGATGCTTCACAGGGAATGGATAGAACAATGCAATTTTGAGTGATCCAGCCTCTGTTGTCCAGTCCCAACTTATGGCACTTGGAGTTTTAGGGACATCTGGAGCACAGCACTGTATCCTTGACCATCTTGACCTACCCTCCATGAACTTCTTAATTTCTTTAAACCAAGTAATAGCATAGGCTTTCACAACATCTCATGGCAACAGACCCACAGGTTGACTGTGTTTTGTCTGAAGTACTTACTTTTCTTTGTTTAAACTTTTTGCCTATTAATTTCATCAGGTGACCCCTAATTCTTGAGTTATGTGAAGGAATGAATAAATAAATCTTCCCTATTCACTTTCTCCACACACTTTTTCATAGATCTTGTATCATGCCGTGCTTCAATCTCTTTGCCAAAATGAACAGTTCCACTCTTTTTAATCTCTCATGTGGAAGCTGTTCCATACTCTAATAATCTTCTATGCTCTTCTCTGCACCTGTTCCAATTCTAATATATCTTTTTTGAGATCAGACAACCAGAACTGCACATAGTACAGGCAGTCCCCAGGTTACATACAAGATAGGGACTAGAGGTTTGTTCTTAAGTTGAATTTGTATGTAAGTCGGAACGGGCTCCAGATTCAGCTGCTGCCACTGAAACTGACCAGGGGCTGACTACAGGAAGTGGGAGGCAGAGTTGCTCTGCCCCCAGCTTCCTGGAATCAGCCTGATCAGTTTCAACAGCTGCTGAATCTGGAGCCTGGGACAGAACAGCTGGGGCACTGCCCGGTAGGTTCCCACAGGACCAACCCAGCAGCACCCCAGCTGCTCTACCCGAGGCGTCCCGCAACAAAAGCCTGGTCTGCTGGGGGGGGGGAGAGGCCAGCAAAGCCACTGGACGCCCCCCAGCAGACCAGGGACACCCGAGCAAAGCCGCCGCCTGGGCGGCTTTGCTCATTTGCCCGGGAGAAAAGCCGCCCAGGCAGCGAGACCCCCGCCGCCTGGGCGGCTTTGCTCATTTGCCCGGGAGAAAAGCCGCCCAGGCAGCGAGACCCCCGCCGCCTGGGCGGCTTTGCTCATTTGCCCGGGAGAAAAGCCGCCCAGGCAGCGAGACCCCCGCCGCCTGGGCGGCTTTGCTCATTTGCCCGGGAGAAAAGCCGCCCAGGCAGCGAGACCCCCGCCGCCTGGGCGGCTTTGCTCGGGTGTCCCTGGTCTGCTGGGGGGCGTCCAGTGGCTTTGCTGGCCTCTCCCCCCCCCCAGCAGACCAGGGAGACTGGGAGAAGCTTTTCTCGCCCCAGAGGACACGGGTGGCGACCTGCCACCCGTGAGCTCTGGGGCGAGAAAAGCCCCGTTCATAAGTGCGGATCCGACATAAGTCGGATCCACGTAAGTCGGGGACTGCCTGTATTCAAAATGTGAATGCGCAATGGATTTATAAAGTAGCGTATTATATATTTTGTCATCTTAACCTTTCCTAATGGTTCCTAACGTTTAGCTTTTTTTACACTGCTGCTGCACATTGAATGGATGTTTTCATTCAATCCATGATTCTAAGATCTTTCTGGAGTTGTAATAGCTAATTTATTACATTTTGTATGTATAGTTGGGATAATTTTTGCTAGTGTGCATTACTTTGCACAAATCAAGTTTGAATTTCATGTGCCATTTTTTCACCCAGTCACACATTTTAGTGAGATAGCTTTATAACTTTTCACAATCAGTTTTGGACTTCATTGTCTCGAATAATTATTTGCAAATTTTGTCACCTTACTGTTCACTCTGTTATCTAAATCATTTATGAATATGCTTAAGAGTTCACATCCCAGAACAAATCCTTGGGGGACCCTGCTATTTATCTTACTCTGTTGTGAAAATTGTCAGTTTATTCTTATTCTTTGTTTCCTATCCTCTAATCAGTTACTCTCCAGGATGGAAGCTTCCCTTTTGTCCCCAACTGCTTAGGTTGCTTAAGAGCCTTTGGTGAAGGATCATGTCATAGTTTGTTTACCCTGCAACATAAATCCAGGGTTCCATCTCAGGCTCAAGCCTCTCACCCCTTCCATCTAAATGCATGTTGGACCCAGAACCCTACAGAGGTCTGAGCCTAAATCAACCTTATACCAAGGATTCAAGTCCAATTACCTTGCAGGATAAATGCAGGCCCATTGGACATGTGCTTTGAGAGTTTGTCAAAAATATCCCACAGGCCAACTTCCTTTGTCCTCTAGACAGTAAAATTTGGCATACAATCAAGTTTTCCTACTCTGCACTATAAACAAGGTTACAGTTGGGTGCAAAGAAGTATGGGATATGCGTGTTTGGACGTAGGCCCCCATACTACCATGTAGATGCTGGAGCCCCAGGCAGGAACCCAGAGTTAAACAATTCCTAACCTGGGATTACAAATGAACATAGCCCTAAGTTGTTAAACCCGGGGTCTGCTAACTCAAGTTGGACTTAAGTTGCAATATAGACATACCCTGAAAGTCCAAGTACATTTTATCAACTGTACTGGCTTTTTAACAAAGCATGTAGACTAAAGATACAATTTTCAAAGGTACCTAAATGTAGATGCTGTAAAATTTTGTCTTGTAATCTACAACAGAAACACTTTCCACAAATGTCTTTAGGTTTTACACCAATGAGCACAGAGTGGTCCGCAAAGAGGAATCTGTTTCCCTTGATTCCTGGCTAACTGGCAGAATCTGTTCTCCCCTTCTTCCACCATGCCTGACACATTAATATGTGTAACTGGTCTGTGGTGGAATGATTAGATAGATCTGAATCTTATGAGTTTGTTTACACTTAATTGATAGTTTTGTCCCTTGAGTAGGTACTGAATCAGTTAATTATTGCTCTTTCAACATTTCCCTTGTTTAGCTCTGTCCAGAACAGCGAACGTGGCAAGAAAATTGGAAATGTTATGGTCAATACCAGCCGGAATGTTGTGCAAACAGGAAAAGCTGTAGGTAAGAAACTGGTTTATAGCCAAGTTGAAAGAGTTTACAACTAGCTAAATACTGCAAGCATGATATGTCATGGTGATTTAATAGTAGTGTATTGCATTAGTATAGTGCATTTTATTCTAATGGGCTTTGCAGATATATCTACCCATCACAGAACAGCAGACACCTCTGGCCAGGGGAGAGGTGGAAAGGCTGACAGGTTGATAAATTGGACACAGCACATTGCACAACAGTATGGGGAGGGGATACTTTAGAGAAGGGCACTAGAATAAACTTCTGTTTAAAGTCAGGCTTTTCCCAGAGCAGATCTCTCTTAAAGGTTTCAGATGGAAGATTCTTCATCTACAGTAAATGCTTAATGCCGGATCTAAAGACAATAGAAGTCAATAGAAAGGTTCCCATTGACTTCAGTAGACTTTAGATCAAGCCTATACTGTTTTGATTGTCCAGTATGACCTCATCAGATGGTGAGAGCGACCAGTTAAAGAGCTTTATAAGCACTTGTTCTCTTATGGCTTTGCCAAAATTTCAGAATGGAGGTGATCTCTGTGCTCTGTCTTTTTCTCCCAAGCCTCTGCTGCTAGTGTTCTGAGATGAGCTTTGGCCCCGAGAGCCTTTTGAGCTGGGACCTGAAGACGCCACCTAAAGACTATATAATTATCACTGGCTGGCACAAACCATATATTCTAAGATGCCATCTTTAAATTCTTGTGTGTCTGGATATTTACATTTTAAATTGCTGATTAAACCACTGATGTGTTTGTAGTATTCTGTGGTGTGTTGTATATGCAAAGAATATGGTAAGGGATATTTACTATCTAAAAAACTATATTAAATTTTCATGACTACCTTTTTTTCTCTTTTTTGTTTATAATGCAGGTCAGTCAGTAGGGGGGGCCTTCACAAGTGCAAGATCAGCCATGTCTTCTTGGCTTTCCACTTTTACACAGTCAACACAAGGCCTCGGGGACTGAAAATAGAACACTGGCTTTGCACTCTGCTGTTGGGTATTTCTCAGCTGTACAAAAACTGTTCCAAAATGAATTATGGAGGCTGCTTCTTAGTCGTGAAGGACCAAAATTTGATGTGTTTACAGACAGAAGTGGAATGAGTAATCCTTTGGTTTCCTAGAAGTATGAATGTCTCCAAACAGAGTATGAAGAATAGCATTTAAAGGTCTTTCACAGTACATTAGTTGTTTTTAAATGAGTACTTCTATTTAAATCTGAGCCTTTATACTTTAGCAAACAGGGTTTATTACAGACAAAATGATAGGTTTGAATTCAGATTTGTACATTTTGGATGGTGAAGAGATCTGTATAAATTATCTGTATTTTACAATTCAAATAGTTGAATGTTTGTTGTAATGTTTAATAGAATGAAGCAGTATAATAATGCTGATTCACATTTTAGGTTGGATCTGAGGGCATGCCTGTGAAATTAACAATACAAGCCAGGTTGAAACCCTTCTTAGTCAAGCTTGCTTTCAGTTCCAAAGTAATTCAGCCCTGATGCAGACAAACAGTTTTCTGTTTGTAACTTTCTTTTCCCCGTCATATACGTGCATTCATCTGTATCTAACTTTCGTCTCTGTACATGCAGAAACAATTGTGCAATCCATTTCTATTTGATATTGTCCTCACTCATTTCATAGGGTGGAATATGAATACTAATTAGCGTTGCCACTATACTTATAAGACCTTGGAGAGATTTCTTTACATCACTCTTTAGGGAAACATCAACAAAATAATTGGTTCTCTGAGAGCAAAAATTAGAGCCATAAGCAACTCTGTGCAGACCTCTGCTACTTATAAACACAGTTTGTGTGTGTCTGTATGTATGTATGTATGTATGTATATACATACAATGTGTTGAAATTGTCCCTAAAACTAACACAGGAACTAACAAACTCTTGAATTCTTTTTGTTTCAAGGCAGGTTGTGAAGACCCTTCTAAATAAATATTGGCCAGATAGACGACTCTTTCATTTAGTCAAGGAATATACATTTCACAGAACTGTTTTTGCATTAGGAAAGAGACATCTCTGTTATAAGAATAACAGCAGTTCAGTAACAACATTAAATAAGATAGCATAGCTGTTTGTACTACTTGGTGTGATACTCCTGTATTTTATATACACTGTGCATGTGTTGTAATCTATATGGGTACATATCCTAAACCTGGAGTATTTCTTGTTTTTTCAAACGTAAACTTTTCTATTTCTTTAAATGATATATACCTGCTAGAATCTCAAGATGTTACCTATTAGCATACTTTCAAATTTGTATTTTTTAAATTATAGTAACAAAAAAATCCACATTAATAATGAAGAGAGCCTCATAGCATGAAATCATGACACCAGAAACATCAATGTGAATTTTACCATTCACTTCCAAAGGGCCATAATTTCCCCCACTGTTATCTTGGACATCCCTATCTTTTGTTGTCCTGTATGTAGACATGGGCTGAGTTGGTTGCAGTTTCCACTAGCTCTTCACCTTTCAATAAAGAATATCTAATGCTCCTTATGCAGCTCTTTACATAAGGAATTGAAATTAACAATTTATTTTTTAAAAGCTATTGAAAACCATGCTTTCATCTACCAATTATTTTTGCACAAACTTTTTTGTTCCAGTATTATTGTTGTACATTAAATTACAAATGGAAAAACATAGATAAAACTGAAAGCTCACAGCTACATGAGTAATTTCCTTTTGAAAAGCAAATACTGTCTCTAGAAAGCTGTAAAACTTTTTTATTGCTTGTCACACCAGCAAACATCTATCTTTTATTGAAATAGAACTGTCACATAATAAGCGTAGGCTATGTTGCTTTCAGACAGTATATATAAATTTTGTTCTGTAATTTCTACTGCAGTATTTTGGATATTGTTCAACTCTGTGCCCTCTTGCTTTCTTTTCTCTGGTTCAATTTTCTCTTAGTAGATGCTTCCATCTTCATAGAGACTAGACCATACCCTATGCTACATACATATCTATTTGATAAAGTTGGTTTAGGTGTATAATCAAAAAAAGCTTTTCGTGGCTCCTAGTTAGTGGCTACTGAATTTTTCCAGTTCAGCATGCAGATTAGAAAATAGCAATTCGCTATTACGAGATACTGGTGAAGCAGTAAACAATATAAATACTCTTAGCCTCTCTCTCTCTCTGGTAGTTGAAGTTTTTCTTGTAGCGAAGACAATCTGTGGCCTCTGGAACATACGCATTGCAATGCAGTTTAAAACAGGAATTTGGCAAGTAGCTAAGATTTACAGGTACAAAGTGTAGAAGCAGGGCCTCTACACTGTATGTTTTTTTTAAACAACCTTGTCTGTTACTGCCATTCCTCCATCACTTTCCATCCCTCTGATCCCATCTCTTGTCTCGCTTCAAGAACAGGAACTCAGAACTTCTGAGGACTGGTAAGAGCTCTTAATTCAGGTGCCTAGCCTTTGCAAAAGCAGACACCCACCATGTGCTGCTCTGTAGTGGGACTTGCAGTGTTCCTGGCTCCCGCTGTTGTTTGCACTCTTACTCTAGGACAGATGGCCAAAACATTCTCCACCTCCCTCTGTTTGCCTGTTGTGGGAATAAGGGGACCGGTTTCATCAAGAGTATTTTCCTTTGTCCTATCCCTCAAAAAGATGATCCAAGTATAACACTGACAGCATTCATTTTTGCCAGAGGGTGAATGATGCTCAAGTAATAAGAGGAAGCTATTGTGGTATTTATCCTCTTTCAGATGAGCTTCCTGCTAGCAATTTGGACAGTATCTGTCAGACTTCTTATAGTGAATATTAGTGAAGTGATAATAGTATGCGCCTTTGAACAGCCACTTGAATTACTTCTGAGCATTAGAGCATGCAGCCAACCAAATTAACATACAAACTATACAAGCGAATAAGTCTGTAAGCCTCCTTAAATTAACAGTTGTAGTAATCAGTCATTCTAGTGAATCTTAGACAAATTCCAGAACTATATTCCCACACTTCTATTTATTTACATGTATTAAATAGCCAGTATAAACATAAAATCAGTCAAACTAAGGAAGTGATACCTCATCTTGAGCTGGAGAGCTTTCTTCATTGCCTGGTTTCTGGGGCACAGTATAGCTGTAAAGACACTGCCTGTGATGACTGAGCTGTGACATTGTCATTTAGCATGTCTGGATGTCACTGTACAGTTTGTTGGCTCTTTGTGGTTCCTCTTCAACATTTTCTCTCTTCCCACTCCCTGGCTGCTTTAGTGCTCTTGTACGTGCCAAAAAGCATGGGAAGCTGTCCTGCCAATCCTACCTATAGGATTCTGTATGTGGGTCATATAGCTCCTAAAGAGAGAGACTGAGTATGACTGACTTAAATGCTGATTAGACTCAAATATTCACTTTATCAGTCACTTGATGTTATAACTTTAAAATTGTGTGCATCTGACATTAGGACATCTTAAGTGTTACTGTATTTTAATAAATGTCATTTTAGAACCAATCTTCTAGTGTATTTCACTCATTTCATCATAAGTACAGTGTTTTAAGCGACATTATAATTTAAGCTTAGTATTTTATCTAAATAAAAATATCTGATTTCAGCCAAAATTATTAGCGAAGAAACTAATCTGTGGCAGTATTTAATTATAAAGAATGAAAGTATAAATGCAATTTTAAAAAATAAAAACCTGGTATTGGATATCATATACTTTATCTGGTTGAGATTTTGTATGAGGAGCTTAGAAATAAATATATTAAGCCTGTTTAAAAGCTTTTACTGTTTGCTCAGAAAGCTGTTTCAGTGGACGTAAGTACAAATACGTATATATAAGTAATTTAATGAGATTAACAGTTGGCACACTGATAGCTGTGCATCATTCAGTGACTGATCTTAAGCCATTAACCTCTGAAACTGGTGAAATATGATTTTTGCTGGTTATTCTTGTAGTATAATGATGCCAACTTGTGAAACTAAATAGTTAGTTTAAACGGACTATAAATTAAAAATTGGTTTTGCAAATTTGGTGCAACAGAATAGTTCAGAATGATTTTTTTTAATGTAAATACTTGTTTCATCTGTTTGTGAGCTAGTATTTTTTCCAAGTTTCTACCTATCACTGAAATTGTTGCATCTTGTAAAAAGCTTTTCCTTGAAGACATGTAAAATAACTTTAAACTAGACAGTCTCCTGAAAATTATCTTTAAACAGCCTCACAAAAAATTCTTATTAATGCAGAGAGAGATCATTGAGCATTTTAAATATCTTGCCAAAAACAGGAGGCTCCAAGACCAAGCCTACACTAAAGGGGAAAGTTGACTTAAGATATGCAACTCCACCTACATTAATTACGTAGCTGGAGTCCAAGTATCTGAAATCGTATTTTAGCACTGTTCACATGCAGGAGATCAACAGGAGCACACGCTCCCATCAACTTCCCTTACTCCTCGTGAGGAGCAGGCTAGTGGTGCTGATGGGAGCACCCTGGCAGTTCAAATTAACGTGGCTTCACTAGACCTGGTCATTCGAAACCCAGAGGCTGACTGCTGCAGCTTTGATCTTCTCTGTAATGTAGACAAGGCCCAAGTGACTAATGAGTACAACTTGCACTGGGTTGGCAGCAGTAATATTTTCCCACTCATTTGCTTATAGAACATTAAAGGTGTCCTTTTTTTTTTATTTCTTTAAACATGCTAAACACTCCAATCAAGGTAAATCATCAAGCCATTTTCAAAAATATAGTTTTGATAAACTGAAGTCCATTAGAAAGGGGAAGAAAATAACTTCCTTAAATAACAGAGTTCAAATCTGAGAGAGATGCTTGCATAAATAAGTAATATTTTGTAAAATTTTGTTGCCTTTGTATTTGTCTACCTTTCTACTGACTACACCTGAAAGAAAATCTATATTTAAACTGTGTAAATGACAGGGTCATAGCTTGTTTTCCAGAATATTTATAATTGATGTCTTGCATGTATTATTTATCTTTCTAAAATGTGCAATAATGAAAATGTGCACCTGTCCAGTTTCAAGCCAGAAAAAATTCAATACTCTACTATAATTCCTTGTATTTCAAGTTTTCATAGAGAGTCACTTCATGGAGACAAGATAAAGTGCTAAAGTTTTTTAATGCTAATATGAAATGGAGGTTGACCAGAGGGCTAAAGTGACTCTTCAGATTTTACAGTCTGAATTTCTCATTTGTTATCAGATACAGGAAGTAGTTTATTAAAGAAACATTCTGCAAATTATTGTAAGAATTCAGAGTCATTTGAACAACTGTCAGTTTAAATCTGATCACTTTATGGGGTATAAAGTAATATGTGCTATAGTATAAACCAGTTAACATGCATAACATCTGACCATAAAACAGTTTAGTATTCTTTGCTGCTATTGTAGACCTTGTAATTTTAACAGGACATTTTGTTGAATCCTTTATTTCTGTGACTATTTTAAAATCAAGTCATGGCCTAATCATATACTGTGCTGAAATGATTCCATTGTATATTTTGTTCTAAAAGTGATAGAAAATAAAATTGCTCTGTTTATGCCCTTCTTGAATACATTTTTCTTGTATTTACGAAAGCACATATAATAATCCAGATATAATTATTGTGTCTTTGGGAATAGTAGAGGTCTTCTATTAAATCCTTCTTGTCTGAATCTACAGCTTTACCACTTCCTATTTTATTTGTATGCTTTATTTAGGAAAAAGGCATGGTGACCAGAATTTAGATTGCTACAGAAAAATGACAAAGATGCTTTCATTCACGTTATACGGATATTTTATAAAACTAAATATTGCCCAGAAAATTTAATCTTAAATTGTACTCTCCATTATATGAGCTTTCAATTTTAATCTAGTTTTAAAATGGGCAGAGACACATAGGAAAAAGTCAGAAGGCACCATGGTAAGTGTATTGATATTAGTCTCTTCTACTTTCCAAAGAAACTGCCTTCAGCCTCCTCTCTCATTATGACTAATATCCTGTTGTAAATGTTTAGGTTTCTGATGTTGTTGTGCCTGAAGTTGATTAGAGCAAAGTTGCTGTCTTAAACTTTAGTGTGCTTTGCCAGTATTGGCAAAAAAAGTGGTTAAATATGAAAGAATATGGCAAATCTGCCAACATAATGTGATAAGTGTCAAGATTTAGCTTATTGCAGTCCAAGTTGATCTCATCTGGGGTTTAAGGTTATCTCCATAGTTGCACTTCACATTTATTTTAAAAACACCATGCATACATTAAACTTCAATGCACCTTTAGGAATCATTGAGTATCTAAAGTAACTTGCATAGGAGTGTGCAGAGCTGGGATTAGAACCCATCAATACTTGATTTCAAGGTTTTGCTCCCTCAGCACATCACTATGAACCGGGATATTTTCATAATGGCAACTTTCCTCTTTTTACAACTGAAGAATATTTTACTAATTTGTGTTTGTTGTGCATAGATAACAGTGTTTGGCTGCATTTGGTAAAGTATATATAGTGTTGTGTAACATCTAATTTACATTCTTCAGATGACTTGGGAAATAATGAACCATGCATTCAGCACCCATACTAAGCGTAGGAATACATTATTTTAAGATTTTTTTAACAATGCTTTACCAGCTCACTTGTCTTCAGTTGAATAGTCATAGCTTTGTTCTATATTATGAAATGTGACTGACACTGATGTACTCATTTGCTGAAACAAGATGCAACTCAACAAATTTTGCATTACAAAATACAAGTAAGACAAAGCCAACCATAAGGTTGGCTAATCTTAAGAAACTAGCCAATTAGCTGATCATAAGACGGGATTTTCAGGTCTCTCCTCCACGTCAGTCTTCTCTCCTGAGCCTCTAGTCTCTCTCTCCTCTCCTCTCCTCCTACTGCCTCTCCCTCTCTCTCAGCTTTACTCCGCCTTCTGCCTCTCCTGCCACTTACTCTGTTTCTCTTCTCTTCCTGCTGTGTTGCTCTCGCTGTCCTCCGCCTCCTGTGTGTCTGCTCTGCTTTCCTCCTTTTGAATTAGGGGCCCTTTCCTGACATCAGAGACGGATGTTCATCCAGGCCCCACCCCCTGGCTGTTCCCTCTGGGCAGTGCTGTTGCTTCCCGCCATGGCGCACGGCTGACTTCTGCGCCACTCAGCCAGGCCGCCGCGTGGGAGCAAGCAGCCGTTTAGGCCCAACACTCCCCATACAGCACCCCCCGTGCTGCATGGGGAGTGCGGACACCAAACGGCCACTCGTGCCTCTTACTCGCCCAGCTGAGCGCCACAGTGGGAGGCAACAGCGCAGCTCAGAGGGAACAGCCAGCTTTTCAGCATTAGAGTCAGACATTGGGCTTGTGTGTGTGTGGGGGGGGGGGTATATATACACACACACACACAGTCTTCTTGCTATCCTGTATCCTTCAAGGAATAAGGGAGAAATCATTTCAGTGTTCCTATTTCTTCATTCTGTTGGCCCTTGCATCCACACCTCAATATTGTTTTGCCCTAGTCCTTTGTCTTCCTCCCAAATCTGCTCACTCTTCTGGAGATAAGTGCAGACCATAGCCTCCTTTTCAAACTCTTGGTCAGTCCTGTAGGAATCTGGTTTTAGAACAAGTATTGGGCAAAGTGGAGTCTGAATTTTTCTTAAACTGGCATTTGAGATAAATACATACCTATAACAACTGCAAGCCCCATTAACTGTGCTTAGCCAGCTGACCTCTCCTTTCACCACTACAGTAGGCTCTTTAAGACCTATACTAAATAGCAGTGGATTCCTGGTTAATTACAACAGGAGAAATTTTAAAATTGAGCCAAGTTAAATATAGAATTTCATATCTAGTCAATTGGAAAAACAGTTTCAGCTAGTACTGCTTGCCCTACAGCTGCAAAGCTTTTAAAAATCACTTTTTTTAAATTAACTTCCCTGGTTGAATCAAGGTGTAAACAAGTTGAAAACTCGCCCTGTGCAAGCACTAGATAAGAGGAAAGAAATCTAGCCTCATACTTACTTCTAAGTAAAAATTTCAGGCAAGTATTTGAGACGGTTTTGTGTGGTATTACAATTAGTGAAAGTCTGATGTTGACTGTAAAGTACCATCTATTACCTTCCTACAAAATATTTGTCATGTCTTAAACTACTGCATTGCTCTTAATAAGCACCTGGTGCCTAAGAGACATCTGACTTGACTTCTCAGATTGCCAGCCCTGTTGAATTGAGATCACATCTTTTTTTCTTTTCTTTACAAGATAAAGTACATTTTACTGCCCTAATTCTACCATTCTCCTTTGAGTATAGATTCAATTTGCTTTAGGCAGTAGGACCTGCTGGGAGAATCTTCTTTTATTGATGCATTGTAATCTCTCTCCCAGAAGTAGCGTGATGAGTATTATGTTAGACTGAACACTAACAAGATTTTTAGAATGTCCCAAGCATTTGTCTCTGAGATCCTATCTATCCCTCAACCAAAGACAAGATTCTGGAAGCAAATTCCTGGCAGGGTAAATGGTGTAAGGGGGAGGGGTTTGGTTGTCAAAAATTAGTCCACCTTCTGTGCAGGTGAGGGGGCTGCACAGTTTGGATGGTCTCCACCTCAGAAGACAGACCACTCTCCTCAAGGAGGCTATAGTAGTCTGGAAGAGGTTAAAATGACTGCAAAAGACAAGGTAAAAAAACAAACTCAAGTTGTTGAGAAGTTAAGCAAGGAAGCCAGTGATTGATTGAGAAATTACTGAATTGTCTATAGCTAGCAGTCTGTATGCCAAACATGAGGAAGTGGAATTGTTCATTGAAGCATAAATTTGAGTGAGCTAGTATTATTGAAACGTGGTATGAATCACATGATCAGAATGTTAAAATCAATAGCCCTAGCCCATTTAGGAAGACTCAAGTGTGCACATTGGAGTGGGTGACACTATCAAATTGCATTACCAGTTTGAGCTATGAAAAAACTGGGAGGGAAATTACCTTGAACATTTATAGAACAATAACTAAAAGCTCACTATGTAGTAGAGAACAAGATGACCACCTCCTATGCATCTATCTATTGAGTTACACGTGACCACGTTGTTTGTAAGCGCAGGTCACGTTCGTAACTCGAGGACCTCATTTACGACCACTCCACAGGAGCTTTGGTCGTAAGTGCGAACAGTTGTAAGTCGACCGTTCGCAACTCGGGGAGCGGCTGTATTGCTATTATGATGCATACATTATTTCTTGAAATTTAGACTATTAATTAGGATTCTACTTTTCCAGATCAAGGAGTTTATCCCCTGACAGTGGAACTTCTGACTGAGCATTTTATAGAGATTTTTCCACACAACTTTTCCTTCTTACCTTTTATAAGTATTACATGGTGATTTGGTGCAAGTAGACATGGATTAACTAATTTCAAATGTCAAAACAAACTTCCACAGTTTCACTGAACAGGTAGAGATTTCCAACATGCATGTCCCGTGTCGTTAACTGCCTTTAAATAAGCTAACTTTCCATCACCAAACCAATGCTGAAAGGACAGAG